TATTATAAATAATATTAAAAATAAATAAATAAATAAATAAATAAAATAGGTGCTTGTTAAAACACCTCATAGCAACCTGAATGACCCGAGCCAGAGGCTTGGCTGTGTACAGTGCCTGGACTTTGGGGTGGGCAGATCTGAGGACCCCCAAACAGAGCGGGGTGTGTGGAGCTGTGGAGCATCTCTGGGAAGCGCTGGAGGGCTCTGGATGTGCTGAAACCCCCCTCCCCCAATGCCTTTTGCCAAGTTTGCTTTCAAACTTGAGAGTGCCTTTCCAGGGAAATGTAACCCATATGTCTCTGATTCACTGCCGCTCCATGTGTAAAGGGAAGGGCCAGGAAGCACAGGTTGACGTCGCAGTGCGTCTTTTTTCTTAGAAGGAGGAGAGAGCTGGCTGTGCTGTGCCAACTGGAAGAAAGTGCAGCCTTTGCGATCCTGCATGGATTTGCAAAGCAGAGCCACAGAGAGCAGCATCCCGGGCGTGCGCCTGACCCTGAGTGCGGCCAGGGCCAGGGCCGGAAGGTCCTTTCCCAGTTCTGCCGCCCACCCACTCGCTAGGGTGGTCTGTCAGATGGCAACTCTGTCCAGGAAGCCAGTGGCAGTTGGGATTCAAGCTGCCTGCCTGGCCTGGCAGCAGATCTGCTCAGTAAGGCTGAGTTACCATTCTGGGAAGAGGGGGCGGTTATTCACGTTCACCCTCACACAAGGGTCTCCCAGGAGAAAGCAAAAGTGCAGTCCACACGCCTGGGCATGGCTCAGCTTCCAGAGGAGGCAAAGGGATGCAGACAGTCCCAAAGAGGGTGGTGATTGCTATCTGGCTTTGAAGTACAGTGGGGCCTTGACTTACGAGTTTAATTCATTCTGTGACGGAGCTCGTAACTCAAATTACTCGTATGTCAAATCTTAAAGTGAACGAGTGAGACACGTGATGCTGGGCTGATGTTGTGGCGTTCACTGTGACGTTCGCTGTACCAACTAGTGGTGGGGTATCTGAAGCTGGCTCGTAACCCGAATTTTAGTTTGCAACTCAAAGCAAAAAATCGGCCGAGAGACGGCTCGTATCTCGGAAAACTCGTTAGTCGGGACACTCGTAAGTCAAGGCCCCACTGTAGTAGTTTCAGTCACACTCTCTCTCTCACCCCTAATAGATCATCCAACATTGACTCCGGAGCAGAGAGAGAGCTTTGTGTGCTGGTGGCGGAGTGAGTGTCATGGCGTCATTCCAAAGCTCTTCTAGAAGAATAAGGCTCGGGCAACTAAGCAGCAAATCAGATTCCAATTTTTGCCCCGGGAGGCCTCACAGTTGTGCTATGCTTTCTACTGGGAATAGAGAAAAGGTGCTGACTGTCATGTATAATTTTCGATTAAAAAATGTCCTCTTTGCTCAGGAAGAGAATGAAGACAAATAGGACCAATGCAATCCAGCCTGTAAAATAGCAAGGCAAGCACATGCAGCCTTTTTACTGACAGAGACGGGGTGACTGATGTCTCTCCCACGCAGCTGAGCCACAGTCCAACTTGAATCTGGTGGCTCCGTGAGTTAAGGCAATCGTGGTGGGTTTGGGCCTACGCTCAGGGCGGGGCAAGAATCATTCCTGATGCAGAGCCAAGACGGGGGAACTGGTGACAGCTCAGGGAATAGGCAAAACCAGTTCTCACCATCACCTGTCCCCCGGCTGACTGTGATGGCCTCACAATTGCTCTCCCTGCTTCTGGCCTCCTATTATCTATTCTTGACGAAGCCACCAAGCGCTCCTTCAACATCTTAAATCAGAGCACGTCCCTTCTCTGTTTAAAACCCTCCAGTGGTTCCTGCCTCACTCACCCTGACAATGCCCGTCATGCCCGATCCGCTGCCCTTTCCCCCTGTGATTGCCCTCATCCTGTCTCCTGAACCCCTCCCCTTGCTCACCCCCTCCTGGCTGCTCCCACTTTAGAGCCTTGGCATCGGAGTATTTCTCCCTCAGATCGTCCTGTGGCTCACCCCCTCATCTCCTTCAAATGTCCCCCAAATAGATCTACCCTGATTGATACCTCTATTTAAAGCTGTGACTTCCCCTATGCCCCATGACCCTACCTGGATCTGTTTTCACTGGTCTTATCACCTTCTGACAAGTTACTTATGTATAATTTTGTTCACTGTCGCCTTCCCCGACTAGAGGGTAGTGAGCTCCAGGAGAGGAGAGTGCTGGCTGATTGCTGTACCAGGTGCCTGGAACAGGACCTGGCACCAAGGAAGCAGCACTAACCATCCGTGGAATGAACGGATTATTATTGTTAGTAGTAGTAGCAGTACAAAATGTTACCGGCCCAAACTCAGCTCCAGGATTGGGTTATGTTACCATTTCCTCAGTGCACCGTGCTAACATGTCCGTCTCATGAAGGTGTTTAATAGAAGAACAGGGACTGTCAGACGCCAGATAAAGGAAAGTGGGACCTTCAGGGAACCTCAAAGCAAATGAGGCATCTAGAGCTTCTCTCTGCTCTGATCCAGGCTGCCCCTGGGCAGGGAGGTACTGGGAGGTCCCTGCCGCCCATGCAGCCTGCCACCAGCTGTCCCGTCCCGCCTGCCAGCCTTACCTGCTTTGTCGATCCAGGCGCGGTACCCGTTCAGCTCCCGCTCAATCTGCTGCTGGCGCCGCAGCTTCATGAAAGCCCTCCGGTTCTCCACTCGCTCTCTCTCTTTGGCAAATTCCCTGTGGACAAGGAGGATGAGATGCACTAAGTTCAGGCAGTGCCATGATTAAGAGAAAGGGTGATGTGAGGAGGAGAGAGAGTTTGAGCAGGTGCCTCTGGGCACCCCCTTTCCCCTTCCCTTGGTCCCAGCTGCATCTATGACATCCTTAAAAAGTTGTTCAGAAACTCACCTCATTCAGCCCCATGCAGGAACCTTCTCAGATCCGGTTTATACCAATCAGCACTAACACCCTCTGCTTGCTTGCTCGGAAAGGTGTTTTCTTAGCCACGTGACGAACCAGGCCTCAAAATGCTATACCTGCCGTGTCCCCAGCTACAACAGAGGCCCTTAACCCTGCAAGGGGCATGGCTACTCTTTATGCTTTTAAGTACAATAATGATTAATGTATATTGACCACTTATTAGGCCAGCCCTGTATGAAACTTTTCATACCCAGTAACTCCTTTAGTCCTCATAACCGCCCTATGAGATAAACACTATTAAAATTCTTGTCTAACAGAGAAAGAAACAAGGCTTAGAGAAGAAAGTAACTTGCTGGGATCTGAACTCTAACCAGCGTGCTGTGCCTCCTCTGGGGTCCTGTATCCTGAGGCGCTCGATAATGGCTGTCCCTGAAGACCACTGACACCGACGCGCTGAAGGGCTGCCATGCTGTTTGAAGATGGCTGGCAGCGGGTAAGTGAGGAAAGGAACATGAGAAGGGCACCTGGACTCTAGGAGGAAGACAGTAGGGAGGTGGGGTGGAGCCGAGGAGAGATGATGGGACAGAGGGAAAGCCAAGGGAGAAGACACAGCCCACTGCCAGGGGCCCACAGCCACCCTGTGGCACAAGACAACAAAGACTAAAGCCCCATGGGCAATGGAGAAAGAAGAGGAACGAGTGCTGCCTGGCAGACAGGGAGATGGTTTAATTCAATGGGGAGCAAATAGGGATCAAGAAAAATTCATGAGCTAGTGGGCCCCTCCAGAAACCACCTCCACCACTGTCCTCCACATCACCAAACCCCTTCCAGGCGAGAATGCCCCTCGCTAGAACAGCATCTCCCAGTCACCGCTCTGGCACTCTCCCACTGCCCTGGACGCTGTCAAGGGCTCCCCATCAACAAAGAGGTGCCCCTTGAAGATGAAGAGGTCCAGCACCCATCGTGGGTCCTGCCAGCTTCTCCCTCCTGTCCAGGTACTAAAACATGAGCCAGGGGCTGAGGGTCATGCTCCTGGCCCTGTGCAGGGGAGTGGGAGGGGCCTCATCCAGTCCCTCCTATAAAGATATAGATTCCTTGGCACCGACACCTTATAATGATCACAGTGAGGCTGAGGGCATGGGCATGTGGCACATACCCAGGGGAGGAGATATTCTCCTGGGCTTGGCTGCGGGTCCAGTGGGTTCTACCAAGGGTGTTGTGGGGAATGGAAAGGGAGGGGGTGAAAATGAAGAGTTCCAGGGCCAGTGAGTGACAAGGTAACAATTCAAGCCCTGGGGCACCCCCTTTCCCCACCTTCATTCATGGGTTTCAGCATGGGGCTGGCGTTGCCACTGATCAAAGTTCTTACCTTTGGCTCTTTTTCTTCTTTGTATCCCTCCTTCCCAATTAGTGCCGACTTCCAGTTGGTTCTGTCTTCAGAAGGACACCGGATCCACCTCCCTCTTCATCCTCACCGCCTTGGTCCAGGACCCCCTCCTCTCCTGCCTGGACCATTACAGTAGCACCTACCTGATCTCTCCACCACCTGCCTCTCTCCCCTTCATTTCCTCCATCTCACAGCGATTGGTTATCTTTCTACAACATGATCACTTCCCAACCTAAAACAATAACTATAGGGAGCAATATGTGTGGAACACTTTCTAATTTTCAAGCACCTCTGCATATTTTCCTTATTGAATCTTCACAACCCGTCTGAGAAGAAGGCAGAACATGTATTTTCATCCTCCAGGGAAAAGCTAAACCGCTTGTTCACGTTTAAGCAACAAAGCCAGGACTAGAGCCCAGAGCTGTCTGCTCTATGAGCCGGGCTCCTCACGCCCCGCCTATCTGCCCGGTGGCATATCTATATGTCCCTTCTTTTTGTTTGTTTGTTTGTTTTTTTTGTGTGTTTTTTTTTTAAATATTTTTTATTGATTTTTTACAGAGAGGAAGGGAGAGGGATAGAGAGTTAGACACATCGATGAGAGAGAAACATCGACCAGCTGCCTCCTGCACACCCCAACCGGGGATTTGCCCGCAACCAAGGCACATGCCCCTGACCGGAATCGAACCTGGGACCTCCCAGTCCGCAGGCCGACGCTCTATCCACTGAGCCAAACCGGTTTGGCTGTATGTCCCTTCTTTATCTTTCATATGGATGTGTCCTAATTTTTCAGCTATGCTCTGGGGGAATTCAGGGAGGTTTCAAGCAAGACCTTGAAAAGGGGGACTCGAAGCAGGCTGTGACCAGAGGGACACAATAATCCTTAAGCATCTGGGGTGAGATCACCAACATCTCCATGTTCCAGCTCAGAAACGGAATCCAAGGAGGAGTTAAGTGGCTCTTTAAGGGGGCAAGTGTCCAAGGAACCATGACCCTCAGATCTTCTAAATTCCATCTTCTCTCTGTTCTAATCCCTTCTCCTCCACACCTCCTCCTGCTGCTGCTAAATGAGGTACACACAGCTAACATGGCCTTCAGTCTTTCACAGTCTCATCTGGACCTTCCTTTCCAAGCCTCACCGTCCATCACTCCTCTCTACCCCATGCGCTGGGGCTGTCCCCCTCAGTCATGCTCCCACTGCAGCAACTTCTCTCTACTCCCGAAAAGGCAATGCAGGCTTGTAAGGCTTGGTTCCCACTGCTCCTCTGCCTGGAACCCCTTCTTTTCTGCACCCGAGTCTGTTAAAATCCTTCCTCAAGGCCAGGCTGAAATGTCACCTCTTCTGTTTAGTGTTCTTCTCCCCTAACCTCTCCTTAGTCTTCTGGCCTCCCTTCTACCTTTCTTCTATGTCTTTACAGCCCATCACACAGCCGGAGCTTTACTGTGCTGGGCTGTACAGGAGACTCTCTACTTTACTAATATGTGAGCTTTTTGTGAAAATGTTATGTCTTTCTTAACTTTGTGGTGTCCTCTGGACTAGGCTAGACCTGGCACATAGTATATGTTCAATATATATCTCTCTATATTTTTTAAATTAAAAAATATCCAGACAGACTTGGTGAGCATACTGATCACTCTGCCCTGGGTCCCAAAGGCCTAAATCAGCGGTTCTCAACCTGTGGGTCGCGACCCCTTTGGTGGTCGAACGACCCTTTCACAGGGGTCGCCTAAGACCATCCTGCATATCAGATATTTACATTACGATGCATAACAGTAGCAACATTACAGTTATGAAGTAGCAACGAAAACAATTTTATGGTTGGGTCACAACATGAGGAACTGTATTTAAAGGGCCAGAAGGTTGAGAACCACTGGCCTAAACGAAGGCACACTCCCTCTCTGCGCTGACCCAAAGCGAGCAGGTGCATCTGTGGGAACTCCCGGACACTGCCACTAAAATCTGTTTCTCTTTGGCTCCACTAAAATCTGTGGCATGAGTCCATCAACTATGCGGGGTGTCACCTCTCGCCGGCCCCTGGAGTGACCCTGCAGCTTGATTTCCGGGGGGCTAGGCCAACAAACCCAGGCTAAGCTCCCCGTGTACTTGGAAGTTTCCTGGCTCCGGGCCTCACCAGCTGGCTTCCCTGCTCTCCTCTGTCATCTTGTCATCGCAGGCCCCCGTTTCCTCCCACCCTCCCACCTGGCATCTTCGCTGGGCTCACAGGCCCGGAGCCCAACAAATCTGGCCGGGGCTTTTTAAGAATCCTCTTGCCTGAAGGAAGGAAACAAAGAATGTGCACCAGTGGGGACAGTTCCTCGCAGCTAGTGCACCTCGGTGGAGGAAGGACCGTGCTGGAGGGAGGGGTGTGTGTGCGCTCTATATTGTTTATGGAGTGGCCCTCTTCCTTTTTTCCAATGGGATCCTAGGATAGAAGTCTGGCACCAGTGTCTTTCATGACATTTCTCCCTCCCTCCCTTGCTGTCATCACTGTTTGTGCCCATGGCTCATCGCCCGACTGGTCTGCGGGCTCCATGAGACCATGCAGAGCCTATATGGCATCACATTGCAACAAAGACCTACGAAGATGAATCCAAGGTCTACTATTATAGCAGACTCCATAGGTTATGGAAATAACATGTTAAGAACCGCTAATCTCCATAGAACACATTTGTGAGTTTTTAAATTTACAAATCACTTTCCTGTAAATTAGTGCACTTTTATTTACAAAAACCTTGGGAGATTCAAAAAGGTTCTTGTCCAAGATCAACCAATTAGCCAGAATTCAATCTAACGTGGACCAATCCATTTCAGGTTCAGTGCTGTTTTCACAAGGCCTCAGCTGTCTTCTATGCTATCTAGACATCAGCCTTTAAAATCCACAAAAGGGATGTAGTTTCAGCCCAAGGTTGTGGAAAATAAGGATATAAAATCTAGAGTGTTTGTTTTTCTAAAAGACTGTCTTTTTAATAGAGAAGCAGTATGAGAATCCATTGCTCTGTGTTGGATTAATAAAGACCTAGTGTAAAAGCCATAGCTTTGGTCAAGCTAGTGACGTACTGCTTGGTTTTTGTATCCCTACCACAGTCACCATTTATTTATACACATACTGCATTCTAGGGAGAACAGGGATAAGCAGGATTCAGTGCCATTACCTGCCAAAAATAACTGGCCATTCGCCCTAAGCGGTTTGGCTCAGTGGCTAGAGCGTCGGCCTGCGGACTGAAGGGTCCCAGATTTGATTCTGGTCAAGGGCATGTACCTTGGTTGCGGGCATAT